TGAGTATTTCGGAGGTTACAAACGGAATGACAAAGTTAATATACCCTCCATAGTATGGTGGAGGGTATACAAATACCGCTCCAATTAAAAACCACTATATTGGGGCTATACGAAGACTTGGTTCTGCATAAGTAATTCGTGTCATAGATTGTAGTAACTTTATGTTCGAAATTTGAAACAATTCCGGTGAATAATGTCGCAAAAATTATGAAAATACCGAATATCTGGAAATACGATATCGTGGACAAATATAGACAATTCTCTTTCTGGGGATAAAGTGCTCACAAAGGACTCCTTGTGTAGAATTTTAGGCAATTTCATTGAAAATGTGGTGTAAAATGTGTAAAATCGTCAAAATACCGAATATCGTTATATGTAGGCTATACGAAGACGTGGAACTATATAAATAATTCTCTTGCAGGTGACAAAGTACTCACAAGGAACTCTTTGTGTGTTCTTTGGTCCTTAAAATTCAGTTCAATAATTTCTACCGAAAAATTTTTACATTATTTACGCAGTGCCTAAGATTTTTAAAGTAAGCGCGAAATTATTTTAAAGGTGCCGAAAAGAAAACCATGTAAATTTATGGCATCTCACTGTGTGAGAAATTAATTAAAGCGAACACAAAATGAGCGCATAATTAATTATAAATAAATAAATTGCATAAACAATCATGAAATACATAAAATAATTAAAATTCTAAAGCATTCTTATATTTGGGGTCTGCAATGGGCGAATATATACATATTTATCACATACGCCAATTCCTAGATAAAAGTACATGTAAAAGGGAAAATGAGTCTGTACGTGTGTGGGTATCCATACATATTTTGTATATCTTAAAAAATTGACAATAACAACAACAACAGCACGATGAAATCATAAAAAAATCATTAGAAAAATGCATATCTACACTTAGGTGACCTCAAAGTTCTAAGTGCGTGTGTGTTCTACCAACAACCCACCATCCAACTGAAAAAAATATATTTAATATTTTCATATTGCAAATGAGAAATGAACAACAACAAACATTTGCAAAACAAAAACAACAAAATCATGAAAGACTTACGCAAAAGAATAGAATATTGAAATGAAGAAAAAACACACAAGAAAATGTGTAGGAAGTGATGGGCAACTAGCCAAATAAACAACAACAGCAGCGTTGGTCGGCAACGAGCCTGAGAGGGAGAAAAGAGAATTGTTTTTAGATAAATGAAACATCGACTATAAACAAAATTGTTAAATACATTTTCAATGCAAATGAAAAAAAAAAAAAACATCTATACAAAAATCTCTACATACATACACATGTGTGTGTGAAAATATGTACGTATGTATATTTTGTGGTATAATACCTATGGGAAAATTCATTTCGTACACACGATCTAAAATTTTTGTTTAAAAATACTTTCACAAACAATTTAAATTAACAATTAAATGAATTAGTGTCAAGTTCATACATTAATAAAAAATAAACAATGGATTTTCATTTGAAAGAAAAACAAAAAAAAAAACTATTGTATTTTGTCACTTGGTTACTGAAATAAAAATTTTGAAAAAATAATAAATATGTTGACCTTGTGAAACTTGGCGCTTCTAAACATGAGAAATGCTTGTCCAGGGTTAGAAGAAATGTGTTAAGGCCCGTTTACGCATCATGGTAGAGTCATATGTATGTAGGCTTTTTTGCATTTTATATTTATCATTTTTATAGAGGGCTTTAGAAGCTCTTATCAACTTTTTTATATCCTCCACCATGGTATGGAGGGTATATTAAGTTTGTCATTCCGTTTGTAATACATCGAAATGTACCTTTTTACCCCACATATTCTTGATTAGCATAAAATTCTATGTCGATTTAGCGATGTCCGTCCGTCTGTGTAATTTCAAGGTTCATAGAATTTTCTCAAATTTGTATTATGTCTGCAGGACTTTTGGTATTGAAAATGGGTGATGTAGGTCCACGTTTTGGTATAGCCCCCATATAATGGTACCTCCTTTTTTCAGTATTTTGAGGATTTAAGCGACTTTATTCACCGGAATTATGAAAGTAAATTGTCCGTGCAGGTCCACGTCTTCGTATATCCCCCATATAACGGTACCTCCCAATATTCGGTACTTTGATGTTTTAGCGCCATTTTCACCGGAATTGTTTCAAATTTGGTATTTGAAGTTCGTAATGGATACTACAGCCTACGACTGAAAATTGTATGTGCGGGTCCACGTTTTGGTATAGCCCCCATATAATGGTTCCTCCCCATATTCGGTATGAGCTACATTATTCATCGAATTTTTCAAGTTTCGCATTTGATTATTGTAATGGCTTATAACAAATGCTGCCTATGCAGGTCCACGTTCCAAATTCGTTTCAAACGGTGGAGGGTATTCAAATTTCGGCCCAACCGAACTTACAACTTTTTAACTGGTTTTAACTTAAAATGAAAATTATTCTGCTATGGGTTTATCCTCCTCTGAATCGATTTCTAATAAATTCGACGAAGGTATTTGTGTCTGAACCGATACTCATAAAAATTCATCCTATTTGACATACACTTACAGACACAATAAACGTAAAATCGGAGGAAAATATATATGGAAGCTATATCCAAAGCTGAAGAGATCTTTATAAAATTAAGCAGATTTCTACGCTATATCTAATAGTTAGTACCAAGTTCATTGTTATGAATAGCATTTTATGGGTGTGTGGAAAATATATACAAAATCGGATAAAACATCTATATGGGACCGTTAGCCAACCTTAACCGATTTTCACCAAATTTGATACAATTTCTTCCAGGCTGAATTCGTTCGACCTATATCCAAATATGAACTGATATCGATAAAATTTGACAAAGGTATTTCTGAGCTGTATTTGATATATTTCCCCCAAAAATATAGATGTTACGTAGTGCATATTACGGCTGTGGAGGACAAAAATAACAAATCGGATTAAAAATATGGACAGACGGACCGACGAACATGCATAAATCGATTCAGAATGTGATTCTATGCAGATTATCGAAAAGAACTATGGTTCTATCTCGCTTCCTTCTCTATGTTGCAAACAAATGCACAAAGACATAATACCCTGACCCCAGTGTGGTGTAGGGTATAATAAATAAGTAAAAGAGAGTATAGTTAAATTCACGTTAATAGACGTAATTCCCCCATAGATTACGGGAACGAAAAATGAACAAAAATGGCATAAATTCTTCAAACACAACATAGGGTCAATTTAAAGTTGCCAGCTATTATTTTATGCAAGGCCTAGACAAATTTGGCCGTGTAAAAACCCACATTCAAAGTTTCAAAAATGGAATTCAAGCGTTATAGTGTGATTTATTTATATTTGGCTGGAAGACCACAAATGGCTATCGTTAGAGCACTCCAGCATTTTAACGTGAATATATTTTTTGTGTCTCGTACCCCGTTACCGTGATACTGGTAGCGTAGCCCGACGTCAAGGAAGTGGACGGAAGAAAACGGCAACTTCAGCGGAAATGGTTCGAAAAGTAAAGAAGCACATCGCAATATTCCATTCGGCAAATATTGAAAAATGAGCTCGGGGTTAAGCCATTGAAATTCCAAATAGAGCAAGAACTTATACAGCAACCGAAAAAAATAGACTCAAAAGAGCTAAAGAGTTGCTTCACTTGGCCGGAAGTGGTGAACTTCCGAATTTGGTTTTCTCCGATGAGAAAACATTCGTTGTCCAGCAGTTTGTAAACAAACAAAATGACTGTGTTTATTTGCCAAAGAGGTCAGCTGAAAATGTGCACCTTCGGTTGGCCACAGAACTCAAGCAGATTGTCTCTCTCCGCTCAAGCAGATTGTCTCTCTCCGCTCGTATTAATCGACCTTGGCATCAGAATAAATGCCGAATATTATCGCGAAAATATTCTAGATGGCGTATTAAAGCCTTGGGCACGCAAACAGTTTGGCCGCAGACCTTTGACATTCCAATAGCTTCGAACTCAGCTTCGAAAGCAAGGTTGGCACTAAAAAAATCAAAAGTATCGATCACCTCAAGCAAGCGCTACGCCGGGAATGGGACGAAATGCCGGAGAGCAACATTCGGGCAGCGTGACCAATTCGAAAAAATCTAAACTTATTCTAAAATTTGATGATATTTCCGACATTTTATGCTTTCATTGAAAAAAAATTTAAAAAAGGAAAAATTATGGCGTTTGACTTCGTTTCAGTTTTTTTTTATCTCCCCCTATGTTTAAAATTAGTGTTTCGATGAGTAACAAACCGAGTGACGTACTTAATATACTCTCCATACTACGTATGGTTAAGGGTATAAAAATTGGAACTATATTACCCTCCTGTTAAAAAATCTAGTTCCTTAGTTCAAGTAGTAGCTGATGTTAGTTCATCTCTTTCTTTCGTCTTATCTCGATCTTTAATTAAATTAAATCTAAAATAAATAAAAATCTTTAATTAAATTACGCATCAGGAACTTAATGTTTAGTTTCCTTAAGTTAAGCTGTCTACAAGGATCCCAACCTTTTAGCGAGACAGGAAGTTTCTCAAGCCATGATATTTTGTGGTTGTAGAAAGTGGTCGCAACCACTCAGCAGTTCACATACATATGTATGAAATTTCTGGAGGTTGGAAATATGTCCATGCGCTTCTTGCCCATGTGCAAATGTTCGTTGAATCTGCAAGCATTACAGTGTTACAAACTATCAAGACCGTCCTTAACAACCAAACAAACATTCTGAAGAAATACTGCTTGACTTAATTTAAACTGGATCCTTTTATCAAACTGTTATTATCGTATTCATAACCAGTAGGCTCTCAGGTTCCATTATGACCCACTTTTTGGTATAATATCCATATTTGTATTTCTATTTGGCATATTTGGCAAATATTTGGCATTTCTCGCAACAAAATATTTATAAATTGGCCTTGACTTCTAAAAACATTTTTCAATCAAACCCCCACTTTTTTTTGAAATATACTCATATAATATTCCTCTTTTTATTCTTTTGCAGATGTGTTAGCTAGCTCTGAAGTTGGACCTACTGAATCCGAATGCCGTCCTTATATTGAAAAGGCTATTAACGAATTAAAAACAGGTGATGACAAAGGTAAGGCGATCTCATTCTCCTCTGTTTAACTATGACGCCATAACTAATTTGTCTCATCTTCGTTTTAGAAACATTAATCCCTAGTCCCGATACGACTTCCGGTGAAGAAGAAACGAACAAAGCTAACGATCAATATGGAGAGTCCGGTGAAATGCAGGGAGATCAACCTGTTCATGATGAAAAGGAAACTGTTGAGATTGCCGACGTAGACTCCGTGGAGGAGCCAAAGGCCCCTGTGGATTTGGATGGTGATGGCATTCCCAATGAACAGGACAGTGACATCGATGGTGATGTCATACCCAACGAACAAGATGAAGATATGGATGGAGATGGCGTCTTGAATGTCAATGATGAAGATATTGACGGTGACGTCATACCCAATGTCAAGGACTCTGATATGGATGGTGATGGTGTGGCCAATGTCCATGATGCCGATCTAGATGGCGATGGTGTTGCCAATGTTGTTGATCCCGATTTGGATGGCGATGGTGTTGAGAATGTGATAGATGCTGATATGGATGGTGATGGTGTGGCCAATGTTGTTGATGGCGATATTGATGGTGATGGTGTCCGCAATGTCAGTGATAATGACATAGACGGTGATGGCATTCCAAATGATGAAGATGATGATATGGATGGTGATGGTATTCCCAATGACCAGGATGATGACATCGATGGTGATGGTATCCCTAATACCGAGGATGATGACATTGATGGTGATGGTATCCCCAATCATGAAGACGATGATATCGATGGTGATGGCATACCCAATCATGAAGATGATGATATTGATGGTGATGGCATTCCCAATAGCCAGGATGATGATATTGATGGCGATGGCATTCCTAATACCGAGGATGATGATATCGATGGCGATGGCATCCCCAATGATCAAGACGATGACATTGATGGTGATGGAATTCCCAATGACCAGGATGATGACATAGATGGTGATGGCATTCCCAATACCGAGGATAATGATATCGATGGTGATGGTATTCCCAATGACCAAGACGATGACATCGATGGCGATGGCATTCCAAATCATGAAGATGATGATATTGATGGAGATGGTATCCCCAATACCGAAGATAACGATATTGATGGCGATGGCATTCCCAATGATCAGGACAATGACATTGATGGCGATGGCATCCCCAATGACCAGGATAATGATATTGATGGTGATGGCATACCCAATGACCAGGATAATGATATCGATGGTGATGGTATTGCCAATGAAGATGACAACGATGTTGATGGAGATGGCATTCCCAATGAAGAGGATCACGATGTCGATGGTGATGGCTTGCCCAATGAGGAAGAACCCAAGAGCTTGGATGTGGACAATGATGGCATTACCAATGACGATGATCATGACATAGATGGCGATGTTGTGCACAATGAAGTCGATGCCGATATGGATGGTGACGGTATCCCCAATACCAGTGACAAAGATATTGATGGTGATGGTATTCCAAATCCTCGCGACGATGATGCCTATGAACAGGCTGATGTTCAACCTGGCGCCCGTTCCAAACGTAGCATTGGTGACCTGGATGGTGATGGTATTCCTGATGATGAGGACGAAGATCGTGATGGTGATGGCATTCCCAATCACAAAGATGAAGATATCGATGGTGATGGCATTCCCAATCATCAGGATGAGGATATTGACGGTGATGGTGTACCCAATCATGAGGATAGCGATGATGATGGGGATGGCAAACCAGACGATGAGGCCAAAACCGAAGAGGAGACCAAGACCGTGGAGGAGGATGATACTAAGCCTGAAGATGAACTATTATGGGTAAGATTTAAATTTATGTTGGTGTTCCTGCTTTAGAGCGCTTTGCCAGCTTGTAGAGAGTTTAGTGCGTACTACATCCTGGATAATGGGTAGAGCGATCGATGTCTGAAAAAGAAATTGGGGTTGGGTGGGGCATTTGGATTGCCATGAGGTTGAGGGAGGGAATAAATGGAATTTCAAGTGTACTTAAAAAACATACTTGGGTTTTGGGAGGCAAACCAATTGCCTTGAAGTGGGAAATGGGTTGGCGCCAGCATCGCTAATCTATGTAGATTTCCACCCAAAATTTATGTAGGAACTTTTCCTTTGCATTTTTGGTCTATACTATAGTAAAAGTATTTGAGTATTATTATGGAAGGTTTCCAGAAAACATGGAGATCCCAACGACATTGATGGCGATGGCATTCCTAACATTCACGACGATGACATGGATGGTGATGGCATTGCCAATCATGAAGATAACGACATGGATGGCGATGGTATTCCCGCCGAAGAGGATACCGACATAGACGGTGATGGCACTCCCAATCACTTGGACAATGACATTGATGGCGATGGCACTCCCAATCATTTGGACAATGATATTGATGGTGATGGCACTCCCAACCACTTGGATGAGGACATCGACGGCGATGGAGTGTCCAATGAAAAGGACAACGATGTCGATGGTGATGGAGTTGCCAACGATGCAGATGATGACATTGATGGTGACAATACACCCAATGATCTGGATGATGACATGGATGGCGATGGCATATCCAATGCCCATGACATGGATGTTGATGGTGATGGAGTGCACAACAAACAGGATGATGATCATCATGACATGGATGGTGATGGTATACCCGATCACAGGGATGATGATCGTGATGGCGATGGGGTGCCTAATCATCAAGACGATGATGTGGATGGTGATGGCATACCGAATAAAGATGATACAGATATCGACGGTGATGGTATACCAAATGAACGCGATGCAGATCGAGACGGCGATGGTTTGCCAAATGAGCACGATGATAATGATGGCGAACATGACGACAAGAAATGGGTAAGAATTGTGGGTCATATTGTCGTTTTTTATTTTTGTTTTCTAAACTCACAAGAGACACACCCACAACCATCACTTCTTCTTCTCCTTCTTTGGCACTATTCTTCTTCTTTAAATGCACGTTTCGGCACATTACATGAATGAGCAAGAATAGAAAAAATTCACTGTTTGACAAATAAAAACTTATCTCACTTTGGAATGTTTCAATTAAGAGCACATAGTTACACAGTTTCCCTGAAAACTTCCAGATCTTGAGACACTTCTTCATGAACTTCAGTTACATCTACTTCTTCTCTCATAATGTATTTTTATTAAATACAAACAATTGGAAGATTTCCAGAGGCAAGGACATCGATGGTGATGGTATTCCCAATGAACACGACTACGATATGGATGGCGATGGCATAGTGAACAGCGAGGACAACGATGTCGACGGTGATGGTTTGCCCACCGACGAAGATCCAGATATCGACGGTGATGGCAAAGTCAATGCCGAAGATGATGACGTCGATGGTGATGGCATCTCAAATGAGCGGGATCGCGATGTAGATGGTGATGGCATGCCAAATGAACAGGAGCCACATTCTCTGGATATTGATAACGATGGCATTCCGAATGATGAGGACAATGATATCGATGGCGATGTGATACCCAATGAACTCGATGAAGATATGGATGGCGATGGTGTCCTCAATTTACGCGATCGAGATATAGATGGCGATGGTGTGCCAAATCTACACGATGACGATCATCGTGATATGGACAAAGATGGTGTTATCGATCAGCATGATGCTGATATCGATGGTGATGGCATACCAAATGAGAAAGATCACGACATCGATGGTGATGGTATACCGAATCAGCAGGATACAGATCGTGATGGAGATGGCATACCAAATGTTAAGGATAATCGCGATTATGAAGCCGATGACAAGAAATTGGAACGTAAAACGAAACGGGTAAGGCCTGATACACCAGCACCACAACAACACAAACCAAACAATATGTACTCCATAATTCAGTCATTTGCCATGATGCCACCACCTCCACTCCACACTTCTGGTTGGCCGAAGAAAACAATTAAGAATTAACTTTTGATTTTATGGAAGATTTCTAGAGTTCGTGCCAATGACATAGACGGCGATGGTATACCCAATCATAAAGACAACGATATGGATGGCGATGGCATATTGAATCATGAAGATGCTGATGTAGATGGTGATGGTTTGACAACGGCAAAAGATTCAGATATAGATGGCGATGGCAAGGCCAACAGTGAGGATGATGATGTAGATGGCGATGGGGTTGCCAATGAACAAGATGAAGATATAGATGGCGATGGTATATTGAATGCCGAAGAACCGGTTAGCCTGGATGTCGATAACGATTGTATCGTAAATGATGATGATCCCGATATTGATGGGGATGAGATACCCAATGAATTGGATGAAGATATGGATGGTGATGGTATGCCAAATATACGCGATAAGGATATGGATGGCGATGGCATACCAAATTTCCATGACGACGATCATCGAGACAGTGATGGCGATGGTGTTATCGATGAACATGATGATGATATCGATGGTGATGGTATTGCCAATCACAAGGATACCGATATCGATGGTGATGGCATACCCAATCAATATGATACCGATCGGGATGGTGATGGCATTCTGAATAAGAAAGATCGTCGTGATTGGGAGGCAGATGATAAGAAATCGAAGCATAAATTGAAACGGGTAAGACATGAAAGCACAGGATCTGCACATTAAAAAAAACATGAAAACAAAAAAAGGATCCAGAATATCAATTGTAATTGAGGGATCAATCATTTCTGTGAAAACCAACACACACATATAAATACGTGGTCTCTTTGAACAATTAAAACTCTAACTATCTTCCATCTGCATACATACACATTGTTTGTATACGTATTAAATTGTCCTTTTCTGGAAGATTTCCAGAGCCCATGATCATGATTTGGATGGCGATGGCATACCGAATAGCAAAGACAATGATATGGATGGTGACGGTATTTTAAATCACGTCGATTCAGATGTAGATGGCGATGGCATACCCATTGGCCAGGATACGGATATCGACGGAGATGGTAAATTGAATAGCGAAGATGATGATATCGATGGAGATGGCATTGCCAATGAAAAAGACGAAGATGATGATGGTGATGGGTTGTCAGATAAAGAAGAACCCACAAGTCTTGATTTCGATAAAGATGGCATACCCAACGACGAGGATGATGACATCGATGGTGATGTCATACCCAATGAACTGGATGACGATATGGACGGAGATGGTGTCCTCAATGTGAAAGATAATGACATAGATGGAGATGGTGTGCCGAATGTCCATGACGATTTGGATGATGATGGTATACTGGATGAACATGATGATGACATCGATGGTGATGGTATACCCAATGATCGGGACGATGATATCGATGGCGATGGGTTGCCAAATCACAAAGACAAAGATCGTGATGGAGATGGAGTGCCAAATGAAAAGGACTTGCGTGATGGTGAATCAGATGATAAAAAGTTGGGTGTTAAAGTGAAACTGGTAAGACTTCAAGAAGGGAGTCATTTCTTCTTCCATGGGTACTTCCTTGCTGTTCTTCTTCTCCTTCTTCTTTTATATCAATGATCATTTCTATTATCCTCAAATGTGAACTCTTGGGGTTTTTACATAACTTTCGTTTCGTTCATTTCGGATCGGTTGTAATTCTTGTCTTCTTCTAATTGTGAAAATTTGTATTCATTATTTCTTGGCACTTTACTGTTTCTTATTCTTCAATTCAATTCAATTCAGTTGGTTGTTGTTGTTGTTACTCAGTCAGTAGGATAACTCAACAGTTTTGTATTTTCTATTTGTTTGTGTAAAATTTCATTTTTATGGGAAGACTTCCAGACGACATGATAGTGACATTGATGGCGATGGTATTCCCAATGTACATGACACCGACATGGATGGTGATGGCATATTGAATCACGAAGATTTTGATGCCGACGGTGATGGCATTCCCACCGACCAGGATCCCGACATTGATGGTGATGGCACGCCCAACCATGAGGATGATGACATTGATGGTGATGGCATTGCCAATGAAAAGGATCACGATGTTGACGGCGATGGCATGTCAAATGATGAGGAACCGACAAGTTTAGATCTCGATGGTGATGGTATACCCAATGATGATGATGAAGATATTGATGGTGATGTTATACCCAATGAACTGGACGAAGATATGGATGGTGATGGTATTTTGAATGTACGCGATAAGGACATTGATGGAGATGGCGTGCCAAATGTCCAGGACAAGGATCATCGTGATATGGATGGCGATGGTGTGCCAGATCATCACGATGATGATATTGACCAGGATGGTATTCCCAATCACTTGGACAACGACATAGACGGGGATGGTATCCCCAATGACCACGATATTGATCGTGATGGCGATGGATTCCATAATCATCAGGATGACAGTGATGGTGAGGCAGATGACAAGAAGAGAGCGCATAAATCGCCACGGGTAAGAATTGATTTAGAAAAGACAAAGATCCCATACTTTGAATCTGAATATTTGGACAACTTCGGATGCCGCTTCCCAAAACCATAACAATGGACACTATTTCAGAAATAACAACCATTGCTAATCCAGTCAGTACTCGAAACACCACGACATTCCCCTCAATCATGGAAAACATTTCCCCTAACAATTTTCCTTAAAAAAAAACTATAAATTACTTCGGTGCCAGAGGTCTGATATGACGACCTCTGTTCTCCAGTATCAATACAAAAACACCAGTATTAAATATCAACTTTTGGGAAGATTTCCAGAGGTGTCGCTAGTGACATTGATGGCGATGGCATACCAAATGTCCATGATACGGACATGGATGGTGATGGCATACTTAATCAAGAGGACAATGATGCCGATGGCGATGGTATTCCCACTGCTGAAGACTCTGACATTGATGGTGATGGAACTCCAAATTTCGAAGATGAAGATATAGATGGCGATGGCATAACCAATGAAATGGATCATGACTTGGACGGCGATGGTATGCCAAATGATGAAGAACCCAAGAGTTTGGACTTGGATGGTGATGGTATTCCCAACGATGATGATGAGGATATTGATGGCGATGTCATACCCAATGAAATGGATGAAGATATGGATGGCGATGGCATACTTAATGTACGTGACCGAGATATAGATGGCGATGGGGTGCCAAATGTTCAGGACATAGATCATCGAGATATGGATGCCGATGGCATACCAGATCATCATGATGATGATATCGATGCAGATGGTATTCCCAATCTGAAGGATGATGACATCGATGGTGATGGCATACCCAATGAGCGGGATATTGATCGCGATGGAGATGGTTTCCACAATGAGCAGGATCACAGTGATGGCGAGGCAGATGATATGATAAAGTTGCGCGCCGAAAAGAAACGGGTAAGATAAGACACTACCACGTCACTTCCATGGTCACTATCATGGTCAAAAACACGGTCACTTCTCTCTATCTCTATCCTACTCTATCTTTCTTGTCATACTGACTGAATTCAAAAAACAATCAAATTACGTACAGATCAAATTTATGATTTTATTTTGGTTTATGGTTTCTGGGCTCTGTGTTGTGGCTCCGGTTCCGTACACTCAACAATTTCATTACAAACTTTTCTGTTCTCTTGCACAAAGTTTTTTCTTCACATTTATTTTTCTGCTTTTTGCGGTGGATGTTTTCATCCACTGCCTGACACTTGAAACAGAATACATACATAGATATGTTCCAAACATTATAATTTGAGTATTAAATATCGACATTATGGAAGATTTCCAGAGGGCATGACAGCGACATTGACGGTGATGGCATTCCAAATGCCCATGACACCGATATGGATGGCGATGGCATTTTGAATCATGAAGATATCGATATGGATGGCGATGGCTTGCCCACCCACACAGATCCCGATATCGACGGTGATGGCACACTGAATCATGAGGATGAAGATATCGATGGAGATGGTATTTTGAATGAAAAGGATCACGATGTAGATGGCGATGGTTTGTCGAATGAACATGAACCCACAAGTCTAGATGTAGATGGCGATGGCATACCAAATGATGACGATGAGGATATTGACGGTGATGTGATACCCAATGAATTGGATGAGGATATGGATGGTGATGGTATACCCAATATTGATGACAAGGACATTGATGGTGACGGCGTGCCAAATGCCCATGATGATGACCATCCAGATATGGATGGTGATGGTATACCAGATTGCCTGGACGATGATCGAGATGGAGATGGCATACCAAATCACAAGGATGATGATATAGATGGCGACGGCATTCCCAATCACAAAGACGATGACATAGATGGTGATGGTATACCCAATCACCGTGATGTGGATCGTGATGGTGATGGCATTGCCAATGAGCATGACGAACATGAGGGTGGTTATGTGCACGAGAAAAAGGCGGATAAAACAGCGACACGGGTAAGATATTATACGATTTCCTGTCATCGAAACGGTCATTTCCTACGACGATCTAAAAAAAAAAAAACAAACAAAAAATGGAACACTCTTATCAGTCGCCACATGAAAAACGAATTTCTTACACCCATAGTCTTCCTGGGCGGGCGGGCATATCAATTCCCCTCATGATTCGCCTGCGGTCTAAGCATTTTTTGTTCTTTAAATATTTATCTAATTTGTGTTGAATTCAAAATTTTAACATATCAAATGTACGGAAGATTTCCAGAGATCATGACATCGATGGCGATGGTATCCCTAATGTACACGACACCGACATGGATGGTGATGGCATACTCAATCATGAGGACAATGACATGGATGGCGATGGCCTGCCAAGTCATGCCGATCCGGACATTGATGGCGATGGTACTCTTAATCATGAAGATGAAGACATCGATGGCGATGGCATTGTCAATGAGAAAGATCACGATGTCGATGGTGATGGCCTGTCCAATGAACACGAACCCAAGAGTCTGGATATTGATGGCGATGGCATACCAAACGATGATGATGAGGATATCGATGGTGATGTCATACCCAATGATTTGGATGAAGACATGGACGGGGACGGAGTGCCAAATGTTCATGACAAGGACATTGATGGTGATGGTGTTCCCAATGCCCACGATGATGATCATCGTGACTTGGATGGTGATGGCATACCCGATCATCGGGATGACGATAGCGATGGGGACGGTGTGCCCAATCATGAGGATGATGATATCGATGGCGATGGTATTCCAAATCATCTAGATGTCGATATAGATGGCGATGGTGTGCCAAATCATCTGGATACGGATCGTGATGGTGATGGGGTACCCAACGATCGTGATGATCATGATGGTGAGGCGGATGATAAGAAACATGGTGGTGGTAAAGTTGCGAGGGTAAGATTTGAGTTTGAATTCAATTGGTTGGTTGGTTGTTGTTGTGTTGGTTGAATCACCATTCTGTTCATCATACTACTCGCTGTTTCTCTCTCGCGTTCGCCAAATGAAAAAAGTGATACATTTCTTGTCGAATCAACGTTGGTGTCTACTTCTTTTGACATGCTCGGAAAGGCTGGTCAAGATGACAGCACACAGAGCAACGTTTCATGCGTTTATCCCTTTTGTTATTTAGTTTTATATCTGAATTTGAAAAGCTAAAATGTCCACCCAAAGCTTAACAGCACAAAAGCACTTATCCAAACTGTCCTCTTCCAAAATTTCCCCCAATTTGCTGTTACGGAGTTTTCTTTTATGGAAATTTGAAAATCTTGTATAAAAATCATAATCAACATTTTTGTAACATGGAAGGTTTCCGGTGAACCGGATATTGATGGTGATGGCATACCCAATACCCAGGATCCAGATATGGATGGTGATGGTATTCCCAATCACAAGGACTATGATGTAGATGGCGATGGCATACCGGCCCATGAAGATAGCGACATTGATGGCGATGGCAAGCCGAATACCGTTGATGAAGATATCGATGGTGATGGCATTGCCAATGAAAAGGATCATGACATCGATGGCGATGGCTTAACAAATGACGAGGAACCGGTTAGCCTTGATATCGATGGAGATGGTATACTGAACGATGATGATTCAGATATAGATGGCGACATACTGCTCAATGAAATGGACGCCGATATGGATGGCGATGGCATACCCAATACTGTGGATAAAGATATCGATGGCGATGGCATTCCCAATCCCCATGATGAGGATGATCACGAACCTGCCGCCATGCAAGTCAAGGCCATAAAACGGGCCAAACGTGATTTGACGGAGGCAGTCAAACAAAGTGACATGGACGGTGATGGTATACCCGATGATTTGGATGAGGATAAAGACGGCGATGGTGTGCCCAATCAACAGGATGATGATATCGATGGTGATGGTATACCAAATTACCAGGATGATGATATCGACGGTGATGGTGTACCCAATGAACATGATGTGGATCGTGACGGTGATGGTTTGCTAAACGAAGAAGATGATAGTGATGGCGAGCTCGATGATATCGAAACTCGGCCAGAGGATGAACTGCTTTGGGTAAGATTGAAATTGTTTGCAGTCCAAAGAATGCAATGTTTTGGGTTTTCCAATTTATGATCATTTCCCTTTATATCACTGTAATTTATTTGCAATTCGTTTTCTGATCATTTTTTTTTGTTTTCTTTGAAGTTTACAGGTTACTCTATCTCTAAAAGTCATTAATTTATTGGGTATATTTTAAAACAAGTTCGCACATCAATTGTTATCATATTTTTCACATGCGTTTTTATATAAAAAGTACTAGCGTTGTTGCTATCGTTGCCGCCAATATCTTAAATCATGACATTTCCCTATTTACCAATTTAAGCCATTGATTTGATTATTCTTCTACCTGAAATTAGTGTTATCGCCTGGGTATTATTACTGCTAAAAACTCCTCTCAACATCCGATCGTTCCATTGCAGTTGTACGCTGGTGAACATTTATAATTGATACACTTAGAACGCTTTAATTTGCATGCAAAAGCTTTTATTTGATTGCATCGTATTTATTAAGTATTCGCTTTTTCTTTAAGTTGAAATTTTTAGTTGATATTCCTGGTAATCTACTCATTTTTGGAAATTGTATTTATATATTTTGATACCCTACACCCCAAGGTGGTCAGGGTATTATGTCTTTGTGCATTTGTTTGTAACAGGCAAAAGGAAATGAGATAGACCCATAGTTCCTTTTGATGATCTGCATAGAATCACTTTCTGAGTTGATTTATTCATGTCAGTCCGTCCGTCCGTCTGTCCATGTATTCTTGTGAAAAAAATGCAGGTCGCATTTATTATCCGATTGGAATGAAATTTTCCAAACAACATTTGTTTGGCCCAAGGACGAACCCTATTGAAATTGGAGACAATCGGTAGAAATTTAGATATAACTCCCATATATATCTTCGTCCGATTTGCCTTTTATTGTGCACCAAACGTGTAATATCAGACCGAATAGTATGGAATTTTGCACATACAACCATATTAGGCCTGAAAATAAGTATGCCAAATTTGATCGAAATCGGCTCAGATATAGCTATAGCTCCCATATATATATATATATATATATATATATATATATATATATTGTTCATCCGATTCGTCATTTTTGTCCTCCGCAGCCGTAATATGCAATCTGTAACAACAATATTTGGGGAAATATATCAAATACAGCTCAAAAATATATTTGCCAAATTTTGTTGAGATCGGTTCAGATTTGGGTATAGCTCCCATATATAACTTCGTACGATTTACCTTTTATTGTGCATCAAACGTCTAATATTTGCCCAAATGGGATGGAATTTGGCACTTACGACCGAATTGAGTCTAGAGCTAATATGTCAAATTTGGTGAAGATCGGTTCAGATATAGCTATAGCTCCCATATACATTGTTCATCCGATTTGTTGTGTTTGTTACCCACAGCCATAATATGCACTCCGTAACAACCATATTCAGGGAAATATATCAAATACAGCTCAGAAATATCTTTGCCAAATTTTATCGAGATCGGTTCAGATTTGGATATAGCTCCCATATATATCTTTATCTGATTAATTTTGCACCAAATGGGCAATAAATGTCTGAATTTAAAAGATACAAATGCTTCGGCATATTTAGTCCTTTGAATTTTAAATTATAATTATAATCATGGGGTGTATGATTGAATTCTCCCATAAAAACTCTTAATTTTTATGTGGAGCTCAGCTAAATTAGCAAAGTGGTGTAGGGTATCATAAAATCGGCCCCGCCCGAATTTAGGACTTTCTTTACTGGGTTATCTTGAAATTGTGTTATTTAGAATAGAATTATTTAGCTGAACGAGGCTCAATGTTCTTATGTGCAGGTCTTAACTAAAAACATGTACTAGATGCACCCTGTACTTTTAATGTTAGCTTGTAGAAACACAGTTCGAAATTTAAGGCATACTTCTAGGCGCAATGAAACCACAACCCTGGTGGAAATGAAAGGAGGTGATTGTGAGCATATCTTAATTATTCCATCGTGTGCTATGTCGTACGATAATTGTAATAAGCATTCATGTAGAACGTTTTTTAATATCCTACACCACAAGGTTGTCGGGGTATTATGTCCTTGTGCATTTGTTTGTAACAAAGGAAAAGGAATCGAAATAGACCCATAGATCCTTTTGATGACTTGATCACATTCTGAATCGATTTATGCATGTACGTCGGTCTGTCCATATATTTTTGTAAACAAAGTACAGGTCACACTTATTGTCCGATCCAAGGACTAAACCAGTTGGATATATTCGGTCAAAATTTAGATATAGCTCCCATATACAGTATGAGATAAAAAAACTGCAACAAAGTCAAACGCCGTAATTTTTACGTTTTTTATACCCTCCAACATAGTATGGAGGGTATATTAAGTTTGTCATTTCGTTTGTTACAACTCGAAATATATATTTTAGACCCCACAAAATATATTTATTTTTGATCAGCATAAAATTCTATGTCGATTTAGCGATGTCCGCCCGTCTGTGGAAATCACTTTATCTTCCGAACGAATCGAAGTAGGTTGTTAAATTGTACTCAAAGGAATATTATGTCTGCAAGACTTTTGGTATTGAAAATGGGTCATGTAGGTCCATTTGGTATTTTTAAGATTTCAACAGAATTTTTTACGGTTTTTATTGTTTTTGAAAATTGCCAAATTCGTTCCAAATGGTGGAGGGTATTCAAAGTTCGGCCCGGCCGAACATACATCTTCTTTACTTGTTTTTATACCCTACAACACTATGTGTTGGGGGTATTATAAGTTTGATTGGGCCAAAAATTATGTAACACCTCGAAATATTGGTTTCCCACATAGGAAAATATATGGATTTTCCTATCTCGCCGAGTTGAGTTGATCTAGCTATGTATGCCCGTCCGACGGTACGCCCATGTTAATTTGTAATCACTCTACAGGTCGCAATTATGGCCCGATCTTCGCGAAATTAAGAACGGAGGTGGGGATAGGGCCAGAATAGAACCCTATTTTTTTGGAGATGATCGCATAATATCTAGCGGACCAAATGGACCAAAAACTGAAAAATTTCCTGATTTTGCAGCTGCTCTACAGGTCGCAATTATAGACCAATCGAAGCGGAAGTTAGCATGGTTCTAGAGCTTAGGGCTGGGCAAAGGCCTTCCAATTTTGATGGTCGGGTACTATTTAGTGGGTGAAATATGCCATAACATTTGTGTTAAATAAAAGTGAAATTTACCATTAAACCGCGAATATTTTTAATCCCGGCGAAATCATAAAAAGACGAATAGGTCAATCCTGTGTATCGTTATGTAGATACCGATAGTACATACATATATCGGATATATATAGCGAAATATATATAATAAATATATACAAAGGAAGGTGATGTTAGCTAAAATGCTTATATCTCAACAATGGCTGGACCGATTTTAACAAATTTTGTCAATTCAGAATGCACTTTTGGCATAAAAGTGACATCTAAAAAAATTACATAAAAATATGCCAGTAATGACCCAACATACCAAAATGGCTTGAGAATAATATTACAATTAGCTTATGAACATAAGCCTTAAGCTTGAGAAAATCTTGAGAAAACATTGAAAAATGTTTGTATAACAAGTATAGAATAATCGAAACGGAACCCTTATTTATAAGCTTATACTTGAAATTGTAGAATAAGCTTACAAAAATAATATTATAATAAGCGTATTTTTGTAATAGTATAAAATATTATTTTTTTAGTTTTTAATCATTTTTAACATTTTTTTCTTGATGGACATCCCAGTAGTCACTGCCTCATGTGGCCTTGATACCCTGACGCTTTCTTCTCCCTTATTTGAACTTCTGCATCTCTTCCACTAAGACTACACATCTATTGAATTCCTGCAACTTTTTTGATGCTTCCGATCTGAAATGGGATTGGAATAATTTATGTGAAAGATTCCCGGATTTATTATTCATCCATACCTTAAGGGTTCGGTCCAGAAATGGGTCCTAAATTCGCGTGATTTTGTTTTTTGCCAAAGAAAATAATTTCTTTCTGACAATTTTCACAAAAAATCAAAACTAATTTGTCAACAAAGGACAGATTTGAGAAAAGTTTATGGAACATAAGTGTTTCTCAAGCATTGTTGAAAAATTATATTAAAATTATAATTTTATAATATTGTTCTCAAGCTATATTGTATTTTTGGTATGTTGGGGATGTTAATACAGATTTTGTATTATTTTGTCAATTTTTTTTATTTTTTCATATTTTTTATCGCATGCGATTTTTTCAATTTGACTTATAATATTTTGTAATATTTTTTCACCTTACAACACAGGTTGGGGATATTATATAAGTATTGCAAATATCATCCGATCCTCACAAACATTTTCACAAGGGTAGCGTTAGGGTCAGATGGGCTAGGCCTATTGTTTTCAAATATGTCCGCAATACATATGGGGGTTGAAATGGACCAACAACTAAAAATGTTCCTGATTTTGCAGCCGTTATAAAAGTCACAAATAGAAACCACAGGACACGAAATCTCGCAGGATGTTAGAGTTTAGGACAGCGGGTAGAATGGACCACTGATTTTGTGTAAAAAATACCAGCATTATTTACAGGCGATATCCGAAATACACAAAAGGCGAGCTTCTGTCTTTTTTATGCTGATTTCGTTGATATCGAAGACAAGCAAATCATATAGATGAACCTAAAATTGAACATTCAGAGGGCCTCTTGTTTTTGGAGATGATCGCAAAATATTTAGGGGCTCAAATGAACCAAAAACAGGAAAAATTCCTAATCACACAATTGAAGGCAATCGACACACCTGGGGAGAGAGCATGACGGAGTGTGTTAATATTAGGCAAATATCCCTGGTCAAAATGCTAAGAGTAATATCTGGGCAGTGGTCCGTGATATAATTTCAAAAGCGAAATCTTTCAAAATGGTTTCGACATAAGGGGGCTTCTGTATTGTAGTGTTGTAGGGTATCATATGGTCGGCCCCGCACGACTATAGCCTTTGCTTACTTGTTTTTTAATTTTTTTTTTTTTTTTTTGACTGAAAGCAAACAATGTCGATAATAGCATCAAATTTTGTTCGAATTGGTCGCATTTGGGACGAATTATGGCCTTCAAACGGCCAATGAAACAGTCACACGCTGCTCGAATGTTTCTCTGCGGTATTTTGGCCCATTCCCGGCGAAGCGCTTGCTTGAGGTGATCGACAATTTGGTATTTTTAAGTGCCAATGATATTAAGATGAATCAGTAGAAACATTACAACCATGTATTATTCTGAATTGGACTCAAAAATCTATTCCCTGAAAATTTAATAAAATTTCTGTGGAAATCCTATATAAACTAATGAATATATAGATTCCTAACAGATGCCGTACAAATAATTTTTGCACAGTCAACTTTATGAAGTCTAGTGTATCGACCATTAACGATACACTCAACTTCAAAACTTTAAACGCAATTTCCAAAAATGATTTTTGATTTCTGGGACTTAGTACATTGTAGACCTAATGCCAAAATTGTTTTTCCTAAATTTAATCTCCCTTTACATTCCGCCACATTATTAGGAAGGTGAAATTCCTGCACAACGTCGTAGCCGTGACCACATCAATGAACTGCTGCAACTCGACGAACAATCAAATGCCCGCGAAAAGGCTATAGACAATGTGGCTGAGGTGATTTTGCGTGACATCAAGCGTACCTATGAAAATGCCATCAAACCATTGGAGGTGATGTACAAATATCGTGACTTGAGCAATCGTCACTTTGGCGATCCGGAAATCTTCTCGAAACCATTGGTATTGTTTATGGGTCCATGGTCCGGTGGCAAATCATCGATTATCAATTATTTGACTGATAATGAGTACACACCACATTCGCTGAGATCTGGTAAGTTTTGAAAACGATTGGAGTTTGAAAACTATTTTTTTCTTGTTGTTCTCTTTTTATGCGTGTACGTTATAAGGTGCCGAGCCATCTCCTGCTTATTTCAACATTTTGATGTGGGGCAATGAGACAGAAGTTTTGGATGGTACCCAATTGGCTGCCGATTATACCTTCTCGGGCTTGCAGAAATTCGGCCAGGGTTTGGAGGATCGCTTGCGTGGTTTGAAAATGCCAATTAAATTGTTGGAAAAGGTAAAGGCAATTATTTTTAAAAATTAAAACAATTTATTTAATTTTCTATAATTCCCATCAGGTTAACATTGTTGAAATTCCCGGTATTTTGGAGGTACGCAAACAAGTCTCACGCCTCTTCCCCTTCAACGATGCCTGCCAGTGGTTTATTGATCGTGCCGATATCATTTTCTTGGTCTATGACCCAGCCAAATTGGATGTGGGACCCGAAACTGAAGCTATTCTGGATCAATTGAAGGGCCGTGAATATCAGACTCGTATTATTTTGAATAAGGCCGACACTGTGAAACCCGAAGAATTGTTGCGTGTCCAAAGTGCTTTGATTTGGAACATTTCCCCCTTGATGTCTTCCGCTCAACCACCGTTGGTGTACACCACTTCTCTGTGGGGTCGTCCCTATCAGGATGGTGCTCCAGCTCGCCTCTTGTTGGCCCAAGAAAGAGCCTTTTTGCGTGATCTTCGTACTGCTGTCGATAAGAGAATTGAGAATAAGATTGCCAGTGCGCGTCGTTTTGCTGTAAGTATTGAGATTTTTAACTTAAATAGGAGTTACGTAAGAAATTGAAGATCTGCAACTTGACGGCTAATTAAAAAATTATTCGACTTTTATGATGGAAGTTTTTTAATAACAATAATTTTTAAAATTTATGTATGGAGCACCTTAAAATATGCTATAAAACTGTTAAAGATGAATGTGGTAACAGTTACTTTGCATATGACTCTGACATGATGTGTAAACTAGTCTTAAATGCTCATATATTGACTTGTACAGGATGAGATAAACAAATTGCAACAAAGTCAAACGCCATAGTTTTTACATTTTCTTTTTAAATGTTATTGAATGAAAGCAAAAAAATTTCGGAAGTAGCATCAATATGTTTTGATTTGTTCGAATTGGTCACCTTTAGCACGAATTATGGCCTTCAAACAGAAAATGAAACCGTCACTAGCTGCCCGAATGTTGCTCTGCGGTATTTTGCCCTATTCCCGGCTAAGCGCTTGCTTGAGGTGATCGACACTTTGGTAATGCCAACCTTGCTTTCCAATATACTCCAGACACAATAGTCCAACGAATTGGTATCCGGAAATTTTGGTGGCCATTGTGCGCTGGAAATGAAGCGAGGAACCTCATTGTAACCATTCTTGGGTGGCGCATGCTGAGTGCGATGGTGCTGAGTCCTGTTGGAATGTCCAAGGTCTGCGGCCAAAATGTTTGCGTACCCAAGGCTTTAATACACCCTCCAAAATATTTTCGCGTTAATATTCGGCATTTATTCTGATGCCACGGTCGATTAATACGGGCGGAGAGCGATCATCAGCTGTTATGGCGGTCCACACCATCAACATGGCCGGCGCTTGAGTTCTGGTGGCCAACCGAAGGTGCACATTTTCAGCTGACCTCTTTGGCAAATAAACACGATCATTTTGTTTGTTTACAAGCTGCGGGACAACGAATGTTTTCTCATCGAAGAAACCACTTTCGGCCAAGCGAACCAACTCCTTAATTTTTTTGGATCTATTTTCTTTCGGTTAAGGTGCAAGTTCTTGCACTTTTTGGAATTTTAATGGCTTTACCCCGAGCCCATTTTTCAATATTTGACGAATGGAATATTGCGATATGGTCAGCTCACGAGCTTTTTCGGCCACTGCAACGCGAGTTTCGATCAAGTCGCTACTTTACTTTTCGAACCATTTCTGCTGATGTTGCTGTTTTCTTCTTCACGGTAATGAGCGATGGTACGAGACACAAATATTTATTCACATTTATGCTGGAGTGCTCTAACGATAGCCACTTGTGGTTTTCCAGCAAAATATTGAGAAATCACACTATCACGCTTGAATTCCATCACGAGTAACTTTTTTTCTGGAAAATTCTCACCAAAATGCTTTTGTATGCTTGTAAACAATATAATGAGCTGTCACTGGAATAATTTTAACTGCTGTCGGACGAGTGGCGTAGAAATGACAGCAGTCTAAATTTGATTGCAGTTTTTTCATCTCACCCTGTATATCTGTCGGCAAACCGTCAAAATTTTTCACACCAATTTTAATAATTGACTTTTTATTATTTTCCAGGTCCGCGTCCGCAATCACGCCAAAATGGTTGACTGCTATTTGAACACCTACTACAATCACAAGTCATTGTTCGGCAACAAGAAGCGCATTGCCGACACGATTATTGAAAATCCCCAGAATTATCACATCTATGAGGGTCTCTCCACTTTGACCAATATCTCTCGCTACGATTTGCCCGATCCCGAGGTGTATCGCGATTTCTTCCGTCTGAATCCTCTGTATGAATTCAAGAAGTTGTCGGAGACCTGCTCGTACTTCCGTGGTTGTCCCATTACAAAATTGGATGTGGCCATTGCTTACGATTTGCCAGATTTGGTGGGTAAATATAAACGCATGGCTGAGACGGCATTGGCAACGGTGGAACAAAAAGAAGCTGCTACTGCTGCAGGTGGCGGTGCTGGTGGAGCCGCTGTAGCTGATAAGTCAGAGGCTGATAAAAATAAAAAGACTAAAAGTTGAGTTGTGACAAGAATTGAAGAAAACTTAAAAAACAAAAATGAAAAATAAAACAACCAACCAACTAAAACAACAGCAACAACCGCAACTAAACTAAATTCATGATATAAACTTGATAATTTAGACAACAATTCTCCCATCAACCTGACGCCCTTGTCCCCCAGCCCCTCCTCCTACTCTTCAAAGAAGATGAAGTTGCAAATGTAAACAAATACAAATTTTTGACAGCTTATGTGTTCTCTTGCATTCACATCGGGAGAGAGAGAGAGTTTGAGATATTTAAATTACTCTCCATGAGAAAAAAGAAACTGAGAGCAAATTTTGTTATAGGTTCCCAAGAGAGTGAGAGAGAGAATTTTGACACAGTTGGGATACACTTCAGTTTTTTTGTAAAGAACATTATCACAAGAGCGACAAACAAAAGAGATATCCGGACATCATCAAGGAGAGACCGATCATAGCATAGCAACTTTGAGATAAAATCCACTTAATTAAAATTTATTAAAAAAAAAACAATATAATATACATACAATTTACACAGAAAATAACCCAACGAAATTATTAACACTAACCCCCAAACCTATGAAAAAATTGGAAAAATTAACAAAAACATTTATAAAAAAAAAAATTGAAATGAGAGAGCGATTGAAAAAAAAATCCTTTTTAGTGTAGGAATTAACAAATAGGCACGATTTTAATTTATAGACAAAGAGAGTGAGAAAGAGAAGACAAATTTGAGAGAAATTAATCCTTTTTTCTCCCCTCATAGGCATCTCCCATAACGATTTCAAAACTATTTTTTTCTTTTTCTTCAGCAAACTAATCATAGTTAGCGATTTGATTTTAACTTCTTAGACGATTTAGACAAAAAAAAAACAAATACTTTTACTGCAGTAAACACAACGCACACCAAGAAAACTTCACAGACACACACGCACACACAATTGTAGCTACAATTTTATTTAAAGCATTTAATTTATTTGTCCGTGCACGTCCATAATAAAGAAAATCTGGGCCCAGTATAGACCAGACCCACACGCCCCAACCTCCAAACTATGTCCGAGTTCAATGTTTTCCCAAAATTACTTTTCGCCATACTTCGTTTCGTTTCGTGTTTTTCTTTCTTTGTTCAGATTCTCCATAATTTTTTAGAGCTTAAGATTGTAAATTTTTTTACTCACAGTTTCCCAAAAAAAAACACATTTTTTTTCTGCTTGGTAAAACAGTGAAGACGTTATGCCAACCCATTTTTTTCTTGTTTACGTATGTATGTATGTATATATGTATGTTTGTATGTATGTACATACCTATATATTAATTAGTCCATTCTTATGAACTTAGAACAAAAGGAGTAAAATTTCATTTTGTCCAAATAAATAATTAATTTAACTTTAGTACTTGTGAGCAACAACAAATTTTTTTAGATAGCCATTTTTTTCTTTCTTTCGAATTTAGAAGATGTTCAGTCCACACAAAACATCAACAACAACACTTTTTTCGTGTACTTAAACAAATTTGTAATATTTAATTTTCAATAAATAAATATGATGCGACTTTAATAAATATATATGAAATAAATACATAAAAACAGAAAAAGCCACAATGTGAATGTGTTTAATTTCAAGCAATTAAATGTAAGTTATGATGTCAAAAAAATAATAATAAATTAATAAATTTGTTTATCTTACCTTAAATTTATGCACAGATTATCTGCAATTTATAAAAATAATCTATTAATAATTAGAATTTTATCGGTTTTGGTTGTCATAGAAGCCAATGTTATTGGTTTTGTTATTGGAAATAAACCAAGTTGCTTTTCATTTGCTTTGGATTTTTTAAACAATTTTTAAAGGATATTCAAAGGACTAAAAATGTGGATTTTTTTAAACAATTTTTAAAGGACCATAAACGTGGATTTTTTAAAGATTTTTAAAAGAATATTTAAAAAACTTTAAACGTGGATTTTTTAAAGAATTTTTAAAGAACATTTAAAAAACTTTTAACTTGGATTTTTTAAAGAAGTTTTAAAGGATATTTAAAAAACATTAAACGTGGATTTTTTAAAGAATTTTTAAAAAAACTTTAAACGTGGATTTTTTAAAGAATTTTTAAAAAAACTTTAAACGTGGATTTTTTAAAGAATTTTTAAAAAAACTTTAAACGTGAATTTTTTAAAGAATTTTTAAAAAAAACTTTAAACGTGGATTTTTTAAAGAATTTTTAAAAAAACTTTAAACTTGGATTTTTTAAAGAAGTTTTAAAGGATATTTAAAAAACATTAAACGTGGATTTTTTAAAGAATTTTTAAAAAAACTTTAAACGTGGATTTTTTAAAGAATTTTTAAAAAAATCTTTAAACGTGGATTTTTTAAAGAATTTTTAAAAAAACTTTAAACGTGGATTTTTTAAAGAATTTTTAAAAAAAAACTTTAAACGTGGATTTTTTAAAGAATTTTTAAAAAAACTTTAAACGTGGATTTTTTAAAGAATTTTTAAAAAAACTTTAAACGTGGATTTTTTAAAGAATTTTTAAAAAAACTTTAAACGTGGATTTTTTAAAGAATTTTTAAAAAAACTTTAAACGTGGATTTTTTAAAGAATTTTTAAAAAAAACTTTAAACGTGGATTTTTTAAAGAATTTTTAAAAAAACTTTAAACGTGGATTTTTTAACGATTTTTTAAAGGATATTTAAAAAACTTTAAACGTGGATTTTTTAAAGATTTTTTAAAGGATATTTAAAAAACTTTAAACGTGGATTTTTTAAAGATTTTTTAAAGGATATTTAAAAAACTTTAAACGTGGATTTTTTAAAGAATTGTAAAGGATATTTAAAATACTTTAAACGTGGATTTTTTAAAGAATTTTTAAAGGATATATAAAATACTTTAAACGTGGATTTTTTAAAGATTTTTTAAAGGATATTTAAAAAACTTTAAACGTGGATTTTTTAAAGAATTGTAAAGGATATTTAAAATACTTTAAACGTGGATTTTTTAAAGAATTTTTAAAGGATATATAAAATACTTTAAACGTGGATTTTTTAAAGAATTTTTAAGGATATTTAAAATACTTTAAACGTGGATTTTTTAAAGAATTTTTAAAGGATATTTAAAATACTTTAAACGTGGATTTTTAAAGAGTTTTTAAAGAATATTTAAAGGACCATAAACGTGGATTTTTTAAAGAATTTTTAAAGGATATTTAAAATACTTTAAACGTGGATTTTTTAAAGAATTTTTAAAGGATATTTAAATGACCGTAAACGTAGATTTGTTAAAGAATTTTTAAAGGATTTTTAAAGGACCATAAACGTGGATTTTTTGAAGATTTGTTAAAGGATATTTAAAGGACCATAAACGTAGATTTTTTAAAGAATTTTTAATGGATTTTTAAAGGACCATAAACGTGGATTTTTTAAAGAATTTTTAAAGGATATTTAAAGGACCGTAAACGTAGATTTTTTAAAGAATTTTTAAAGGATTTTTAAAGGACCATAAACGTGGATTTTTTGAAGATTTGTTAAAGGATATTTAAAGGACCATAAACGTGGATTTTTTGAAGATTTGTTAAAGGATATTTAAAGGACCATAAGCGTGGATTTTTTGAAGATTTGTTAAAGGATATTTAAAGGACCATAAACGTGGATTTTTTGAAGATTTGTTAAAGGATATTTAAAGGACCATAAACGTGGATTTTTTGAAGATTTGTTAAAGGATATTTAAAGGACCATAAACGTGGATTTTTTGAAGATTTGTTAAAGGATATTTAAAGGACCATAAACGTGGATTTTTTGAAGATTTGTTAAAGGATATTTAAAGGACCATAAACGTGGACTTTTAAGGATTTTTTTAAAGAATTTTTAAAGGACCATAAACCATAAATCTGCAATGCAGCTTTATAAGTAAGTTCACAGTAAAACAATTTACTTACGCTATCTCCTGCAACTCCAGTGGGTTGCTGAAATCTCAAAGAGCTTTTCTCGTCACCTTTTCTGAGCGTTCTTCGTCCAAAAACACAAAAACTACCACTGCTGATGCCGTCTTACTTTATTTATAGCGACTTATTCCTTTTTTTGTCATAGATTCTGTCATAGAATATTTTCAGTGACAGGCTGTAGCACCCATTACGAACTTAGAATACGAAATTTTAAACAATTCCTTTTGATAATGCCACTAAAATCTTCAAAATACCGAATATAGGGAGGTACCGTTATATGGTGACTATACGAAGACCTGAACCTGAATATGCAATTTTCTCTCATAAGCTGTTGTATCCATTAGCAAGTAATATAATGTTATCAAATTCATCAAAATACCGAATATCTGGAGGTACAATTATATGAGGACTATACCAAAACCTTGACCTATATTGGCAGTTCTATGCATGGATGTTTCTTATATACGGGGAACACATACTGCCATACTTCGGTTAAAATTATGACTAAAACACCAAAAAAAAAAACTTAAATCTGTCGGCATAATTATATGGGAACTATACAAAAACGTGGACCTATGTAATACCAAAAATATTGCAAAGCAAACACAAATCTGAGTAAAATTGTATTTTATTTATTTTAAATTTATTATCAACCTACTTCCATCGCAAGCTAGAGTGATTTTCACAGACTGACGGACATCGCTAAATCGTCACAGAATATTATGCTGATCAAGAATATATGTGATTTGTGTGTCTATGGTATAAAAACATAGTGATGTACGGCATATAAATATGGCCAGGGGCTATTGTTATACCGCAATTTGGATCAATATGAACAGTTCTGTGCAAGTATTGTTTCTACCCAAAGGGAACATAAACAGCCTTTTTACAGAAAATTCTGTAAAGTTCTATCTGAAACAAATGAGGAGAGTGAGCATAAAATCCTACTGCAACTCAGCCGAAGCACCTGTAACAATATGTATGCGACAAATATTTTACTCAGATGTATTTTAGGTCCGTAGAGTTTTGGTATCGACGGCAACGTTTCAACGAATCAATTTCTGTGTCGATTTATGTATGTCAGTCCGTCCGTCCATGTTTTTTGTCAACAAAATGCAGGTTGCATTTATAATCCGATTGAGATGAAATTTTCCAAACAATATTTGTTTGGCCCAAGGACAAGCCCTATTGAAATTGGTAAGAATCGGTCTAAATGTAGATATAGCTCCCATATATATCTTCAAACGATTTCAGGTTAATTGTGCACCAAATGGCCATTTATTATTCGATTGAAAGGAAATTGTGCAACAAATTTTTGTTTGGTCCAAGGACAAACTCTATTGAAATTGGTGATCGGATCATTTATTGATTTAATTATAGCTTCCACATATATTCAACCGATTTCGGGTTAAATGTGCACCAAATGGTCAATATCAGTCCAAATGTCCTGAATTTAGGCACATACGACGGAATTCAGTCTAGAAACAAGTAAATCATACATATGTGTTTCATCCGATTGGGGTTTTAAGTCCGTCACATGCGTAATATGCACTCCAGAAAAATTATATTTGGTACCGGA